CCATGAGCTTTGTGTGTTTTAAGCTACCCTAAGAAAGCCTTAGGTAATAAAAGAAGATGAGAGCTGTGTTTAAAGGTGAAAAATAGAGGGTGGCACCAAAACTAAGGGGAAAAAAAAGCTAAAAAAAAGAAAGAAAAAGGAAAAGGGAGAGTTGGTTGAACGAAAATCAATACGTGATTTGATTTAGCTAAAAATTTATCAACAAGTTTATGATTCAAAATTTTACATTTTGAATAATAAAGATTGGGTTTAAAGCTTTCTAGGAACAAATATATGGTGTATTTGTTGAGTCACCCATTTAGTGATATTTCTCTAATTGTTTCTCTAGTTATTGATTAGCTTTAGTTTTAACTAGAAGAGAACTTCATATATTCATTATTTGATAGTGAAGATTTTTTTAATGGTTCATGATTTTTTCCATTTATATTAGAAGGTTTTTCACATAAATCTTAATGTATTTTATTTTTCTTGTATTATTGAATTATTGATTATTGTCTATTACTGTAGGTTTATTATGATATATTGCTTATGCGTTGTTATGTTTATTGCTTTAGGCCTAACATTTTTGACCCTGATCTTTGAAAAATATATAAGGGAAGCTCTTGAGTCTTTCAAACCATTTAAAACCTTCGACAAAATAGGTTCCACCTTTTTTTATTCCAAAGATTCTGAAGCATAACTAGACATAAAATCTGTGACACTATTTAAGTTATCTTTAATAATGGAAAACTTCAAAAGAGGATGAATGAAACTCTGTCATTGTGAGTTAATTCAAACCTATAAGCCTATTGAATCCTATAAATTGATGACCAAGATCATGGTTCAAAGGTTGAGAACCTTGCTTTATAAGATCATTTCACTACTTCAAGGCAGTTTTATTCTACGAAGGCAAGTCGTGGACAACACAATTATCATGTAAGAAATGTTACACTCAATGAAAAAGAAAAGAGGCAAACAAGGATATATGGTTATGAAACTTGACTTGGAAAAAGCCTATGATAGGCTTGAACGGGGCTTTATTAGAAGGGTTCTTTCATGTTTTAACTTCCTTGAAAGATGGATCACCTTGATAATGAACTGCATAACTTTATTAAATAAGGTGACCTACTATCACCATATATATTCATCCTCTATATGGAGTACTTAAACCTCTTGATACAAGAAGTCTATGACAACAAACTTTGGTGTCCTGCAAAGGCCTCAAGAAATGGATCAAGCTTATCACACCTTTTTTTCACTAACAATGTGATCTTTTTTTTTAGAGCTGATAAAAAATCTACAAAGGCCATCAAAGAGGTGCTAGAGCATTTTATAGAAGAATCGAAGCAAAAATTCAACTTAGAAAAGTCAGGGGTGCTCTTATCCAATAATTCTAGAATGAAGCAATAGAGCTGGCTAGAAAACCAGCTCAGTTTAAAGAAAACAAAAAACCTAGGTAAATATTTAGGGTTCCTCATGCACATCAAGAAATTACAAAACACGATTATAACTTTATTTTGAAAAAAGTCAAATCTAAACTTGTGAGATGGAAATCAAAGCTCTTCTTCCCTACTGGGCTCATGATACTTATTTAATCTACCATGAAAACCATGTCGACTTACTACATGCAAGCTAAGCTCTTACTAGTTTTGACTTGAGTTGACCTTGATAAGATTAATCGTAACTTTTTATGAAGAGATGGTGAAAATACACACAAGTTGCATGGAATGAAATGGGAAGTGGTCACCAAAGCTAAAGAGGAAGGAGGCCTATGACTAAAAAAAATAGGCCTTACAACTAAGCCCTTATCACAAAAACACATTGGAAGATGATCCACCAACATAATGACCTATGGTTAAGGATTCTAAAGTTTAAATATTTATCTGAAAGGTTCTCTAAATGCATCAATTCCTTTGTTGTGTGGAAGTTTTTGAAAAACTATTAGCCTTTCCTTGAGCAAGAAATCAGGTGGATTATTAGTAATAGCTCTAACATCAACTTTTGGTTTGACAACTGGATGGGTCAAGGAAACCTCATATCACTTCTCATGGGCCCTCTAAACAAAAATGAAAAAAGCCTCACTGTGAGTAGGTTACTGAACAATAGGAAAAAAATTTTAATCCTCAACTTTCATTCGCTATCCCTAAGGATATTATCAAGCTCGTGAAAAATGTTCATTTCTTCTTTAATGAAAGCGGGTAAAAACATCATTTGTTGGAGTCTTTCTATCAATGGAGATTTCTCTCTAAATAAGACCTACAAGCTCGCTACTAATATTAACTCCCAAATAAACTCGAAGGAAATGAATAAATAGAAATGGATATAGAAATAGAACATCTAACCCGAACTGTAATTCTTCACTTGAAAGTGCATGCAATCGATACTTTCAACTATAAGCTTACTGAATAAATGTGACATGATTATACAAAAGTTCGTTCTACTAAGAAAAAAAAGAAATGATCGTGCATCTTTTTATTAAGTGCACTATTGTGAAAATTGGTGAAGCTTTACTAAACCTCACAACCAAGTCACTGATAGATATTATAATACTTGGAGTGAGTGGATCCATGACAATGCTAACTCAAAATAATGGTACCACACCCATGGTACGCCTTGGAAATTCATCTTTATCTTTTTTTTTTTATGGGAAATATGAAAGATTAGAAATGTTGTGATTTTCAAAGAAAAGTTTAATAAAGATAAAGTGGTGTCCCGAGCTATGGAATGTGTGACAAATGCCATGCAATGACGAGTAAGATAAATGCTTGTCATCTTCCATCATTTACTAAAGTCCAATGGAAGTCACTAGTGCTAGGGTGGTATAAGCTTAACACGGATGGTTCCTCTATAGGGAGCCCAGGAATAGTAGAAGCTGGAGCTATTTTATGAGACAAAAAAGGGAAATGGATCTTTGGAAGCAGTAAACACATCCCAAGAGCCATTAGTGTGGAAGCAGAGCTTTAAGCTTTAAGAGATAGACTTAAGATGGCTTTAGAGGCTGGAGTGCAAAAAATCAAAATTAAGATTAATGTTTTAGCTGTTGTTAGTTTTAAAAACTCAAAGTCTAGTTTAAACTACTTCTTAAACACTTTGATCTATGATTGCAGGATGATGTTGAGAAAGTTTCAACTAATGACTATGAGACATATCTTCTGTGATAACGATGTATAGATGCCTTGGCCAGGCGAGAAAGTGATGTTAACATGCAGTAAGACATTACAAGTTTTGGGACTAGCTTTTGTTCTTTTGAATGTTTTTTTATTCTATCGAATTGTATGGCTTTTATTTTTTATGATGACTTTTATGGTGCTATGTGATGGAAGATATGTCACACTTAAAGCTTACGGGAGTAAACCAAAGAGCCCATACAGAAATGTTAGACACCACTTAAGTCTAAAAGCTTAAGCTATTAGGTTCTCTATGTATATATAGGATATCTCATTTAGATTTCTTAGTGATGAGGATTCTTTACTTACACATGAATTTTATCCCAATAATCTTCCCTATTTACTTATGAGTTTTAATGAAATCCCATCTCGGTTCCCTTGTGCAAGTAAGTCCAATCAACATCTCTCTTTTTGGCTAGGCAACCTCAGGTCTTGGATGGTCACAATACACCTTAGGCTTAGCATTCAACCTTGCCTCTCTATGGGTCTAAGTTGTCTCAATGCTTTTCAAACTTGGATTTAATCATGGCACACAACCTTCTGCCTAGGTTTTAGGCCTAGGATTCAATCTTGTCTCTTTGTGGGTCTAGGTTGTCTCAATGCCTCTTAAACTTAGACTTAATCATAGCACACAATCTTACTGCCTAGGTTGTTTCAATGACTTTCAAGTTTGGATTCAATCATAGTACACAACTTTAGTGCCTATGTTATTTTAGTGCCTCTCAAGCTTAGCTTCAATCATGACCTTAACCTTGCACTCCATTATAGATTGATTTCATACATTGCCTTTTTAGGTGTTTTGATTCTACACACTCGTTATATCTAAGTTAAACATTAGGCTTTAATACCAATTGCTAAGAGATATATCACACTTCAAGCCCATGAAAGCACACTAGAAAATTCATATATACATGTTAAACATCACTTGAACCCAAAAGCTTAAGCTATTAAGCTTTTGGGTCTTATATATATATATATATATATATATATGACATCTTATTCAAATTTTTTAGTGATGTGAAATTCTTTACTTACATATAAACTTTATCTTAATATTATGTTGTACCATACCTTAAGTTAATCTATGGTATTGTCTTTTTCAAAAAAAAAAAAAACATTTTACATAATTATCAAATCCTTATCTAATTTGGTATTTTTGTTTTAATGGGCTTAGATTATTGAATGATAAAGCTTAGAGGCTTAGTCTATTTAAATAATTAAAAAATTAAAAATTAATTTAAAATTATAATATTTAATTTAATTCAAAATTTTTTATTTAATTTAAATGTAAATATTAAATATTTTATTAAATATGAATGACTTTTATGATGCTATGTTGTACCATACCTTAAGTTAATGTATGGTATTGTTTTTTTTTTTTTTAAATATATTTTATATAATTATCAAATCCTAATCTAATTCGATATTTTTGCTTTAGTTGGCTTAGATTATTGAATGATAAAGCCTAGAAGGCTTAGTCTATATAAATAATTAAAAAATTAAAAATTAATTTAAAATTATAATATTTTATTTAATTCAAAATTTTTTTATTTAATTTAAATATTAAATATTAAATATTTTTATTAAATTTAGATCAAATTTTAAATTAAAAATAATAAACTAAAATATCCGAATTAAGTCAAAATATATATTTTAAAATTTTTATAAAAAATAATTATTTTATATTTAAATTTATTAAAAATTATAAAAAAATAATATAATTTTTTTTAAATTAAGTTTTAAAATCCAATAAATCAACTCAAACCTATAAAATTATTTTCGTTCCATTTCAAAAAAAAAAAAAAATCCATTTCTATTTTTAAAATTTTATAATACAATATTCAAATCAAAATTAAAGGAACCGGAGCACTATCACCCACCAATGACAGAAATGACAAACCATGAAGATAAAATAAAATGAAGGAAATGTAGATTCACATGAAACCATGAAATTCAGTTGGACCCCACGAATCCAACGGGTCCGGTAATATCCGAATGAGATCATCCTCTCTCCAAAGTTTTATCTGGCGATATTATCCATCCATCCAATAAACACCACAGTTGAAAGTTCAAGCAAAAATTCTCCAAAAAAGAATAAGAAAAAAAAATTCCAGAGTCTGATACCCTTGTATTGAGAAGAGAAAGATGGTAGTGAGTAACCATTTATATGGTGTTGGGCATCCAATCTCAATGCTTCAGCTAAAACCCTTTTGTTATATAGATTTCTCAGCCAAGAAGTCATCCAATTTCAGCTTTGTTTTGGGTTGGAATTGGAGTTTTGCTACTGTTCAAAACAGGCCTTTTTTAAAGCACCAACCGAAGAACTCTTCTTTGCGTTGCTGCTTCAACAACAGCAATAAAGGCATCATCCCCATCAACGATAATACTATCAGTTCTTCTTCTGAATGGGATTGGAATCGATGGAGTCGCCATTTCTCTGAGATTGAACAGGCTGAGAGTTATGCATCTGTTCTCAAGGTAACTCCTGTTGGGTTCTTCCCCTTGTCTTGTATAAGTGTTTTCTATGTGGTTTTTTAGTTCGTTGAAGATTTGTAGTCGTTAGTTAATTAAAGTTTCCATCTTTAGCCGCCCATTTCATGTTTCTCTTACTCTCGATTTGGTTGTTTCTTGTTCAATTTGTGTCCCCATGTACGTATTGCCCCATTAAGTACTTCTAAACATCAGAAACTGAGAAATTGGTAGCTTGCCCCTGGAATAATAACTTGAATATAGATAGAGCTATATATAGATTGTCCACTTTTTTTCCGTTTCTTTTCTCTTTTTTCACCTGTGGAAGAAGAGGGTGAGGGGGAATTGTGTTGGTTGTTTTTTTGGAAAAAAAAAAAAGAAATTATTCTTTTGTTATTCATTCATAAACATGGAAGTTGTTTTTTTTTTTTTTTTTTTTTTTTTTGTTATTTGGGGAAGGGGGGATTCAAACTCCGCTCTTTGTGCCAAGGGATACATGCACCTATCACTGAGCCAAATGCTTGGGTGTATAAACGTGAAAGGTTTTTACAGTGAATTTTAGTCTACTTTCTATTGCTGTGAGGTTTTACCTCCCGTGGTGTCAGTTGGATAAATTGAAATGAGGCTCTCAGGTGGCTTTAGATATAAATATGTAGATTATTGTGGAAGAGGGAGGGATTTGGTGAATAATGTTTAGATGATTGTAAAAATTTCTTGCTGTTATTCTTCAACCAATAAAGAAAGAATTTGTCATAAGCACAAGCTCTAAATGTGCTGTATACATGGTGTAGAACGAGGGGAAATGGGGAGTAAATAACCCTCAAGCAGCTTCTTTCCATCCTGCATCAGTAAATTACTTATTTGCTTCTTAGTTGGGATATTCATTACTCTCCATCTCCTTTTTCAAATTTTCATTATTGCCGATTGCAAACGCATGAAAAGAACATGTTGAAATTTATCTGCTAATAGTTTTTGCCAATCAAGTGCTATAAGTGTTCAATTCTTTGCTTGTGAGTTTTATTTTGTTTGGTGCAACAATGTAAAGAATATAGGTCCTCTAATTTACATTTAGCTTTGGTTTGTTTACACTTTCAATTTGTACTTTCTAATTCTATTGCATTAGTTATGTCATATAGGTTTATATATAATTTTACATATATATGTGCGTATAGACATATATTTGAATCCTTTTTTTTTTTCTGATTGAATGCTCCACTTTGTAGTTCCAACTTGAAGATGCAATTGATAAGGAAGACTTTCAAGAAGCAGCAAAGTTAAAGCTGGCTATTGCAGAGGTTGCGTCAAAGGACAGTGTAGCTGAAATCATGTCTCAGTTGAAGGTTAGAGCCTGTATGAGCCTCTAAAATATGACATGTGCTGTTATGCTTTAGTTTTAATATTATCTGTTGTTTATCTGCAGAATGCCATAGATGAAGAGCGGTACCATGATGCTTCGCGGTTGTCTAGACAAACAGGAAGTGGACTGGTAATTTCTTTGATTGGTACTATCTCTTGTCTTGGACGTTGTTCATTCTAGTGAATAGCATTCACTGAAAATGGTCAAGCAACACATCAGCACCGTAGCTTCCCTGGTTTTTGAGTATCGGGGAACTCAGAGTTTAGGTTTTATTATTGTTCTTTTTTTTTTAACTCATCATCTTTTCTGGTAACTAGTGCACCAGCACTGCTTTTAAACATAAGGCTAACAATAGACTGTGAACCCAAAACTTGGAGATGTTTAGATTTTTGAGAAAAACATTTTATTGATGAACATAATAGTAACTTGCAAGCATCATAGAACTGTCTGTGTGCATGACAATAAAGCTAATTTACATGGTAATATGTTAAATGAATAGCAGGGAATAATGGGTTTGTGTTTATCCATGGTTCTTGCATAGTACGGAAAGTTTCAATGCATCCATATTTTGGTAATTATTACCTGAAAGAATAGGAAACTTGAAGAAAAAGATAGAAAATTTGAATGTTGGGTCATATAAATCTTTATTAACAAGTTGTATGGTTTGTTACTTTGCATCTTTAAGCTATATGGTCAACTAGATTCCATCAGAACACAAATCCTAAGATATGTTTTTCAGTTTGGATTCAATGCTGCATTGTATAAGGGCAGCCTGGTGCGTAAAGCTCTTGCAATGTGCAGGGTCCTGGGAGGGTCGGATCCACTGGGTCTAACGTAGACAGTCTTACCCACTGAGTCAATGCTGCATTGTATGTTGATTACTAAAATGTTTGTAACCCAGCACAATCATATAGGACTGCTACCACCCCAGTAAACCAAACCTTTAGCAGGTCTCTCTCTCTCTCTCTCTCTCTCTGTGGGTTAATTAAAGTTATGTTATTTCCATTGTGCAGATGGGCTGGTGGGTAGGCTACTCAAAGGACTCTGATGATCCGTTTGGTAGACTAGTGCGCATAACACCTGGTGTAGGTAGATTTGTTGCTAGGAGTTACAGTCCAAGGTTAGAAAAATCTCTCTGTCACTAAGGTTTGTTGTACTGTAAAGTATTGATAATTATTAGCTACTGTTTGCATGCAGGCAGTTGCTCAGTGCATCGCCTGGAACTCCACTATATGAGATTTTTGTGGTTAAAGAAGATGAAGAAACATATTTTATGCAGGTGAAGTAGTAATATATCTTAAAGATTCTAGCTTGAGTTGAAATGTATCCCCAATGTTTATATTCTGAAATTTTGAAGACCATATGTATTTCATATATTGGATTTAGTTGAGGAACTTTTACTTAGTGGGTGTGACCACATCTACTCTGTTTGGATGGAGATGAGACTTTGAGATGTTCTTGTCTTTTAGACTCTGTTTGACATGTCCAGAGTAATTTTTCCTAGTTTTTAGAGTTAAAATTTATTCTAATCTTTTTTGGGGCCATAAATTGATTCTAAATTATGACATGTTCAAAATTTGGTTAACTCAGAGTACTCATTGATGCCATGAGTATGGTTAAATGGTGTATACGGTTTATTTACTTTGTATGGCTCTGTGCTGGTTTATATGAGTGGAAATCATATGGTAAAACAATGACTCAAGGACCTTTGGAGTTGTAGTCCATGAGATATGTTTGGGCAACTGATTTACTGCAGAGGGAGTGTCCTTTAAACTTATTTTATTCCAGTGTAAGCAGGAGCATTTTCAACATTTTTAGTTCCTTAATCATGATCATATATTCTGTTCATAAGTATATATCTAATGCTGTACGCACCTGATTTGGGCTTCCCTGGTGTGTTTTGCTTGTTATCATTTTCACAAACACCACATCTGAATTGCTTTTGAATTAGTGCAGTGCTGCATGTTACTTTCTCTGCTTCACATAATGAAACAGCTTCCAATGTGTTTGTTCAGTAACTGAGCCTGGCTGCAGTCTGATTAAAATTTGGATTATATCTTTTGGATTCAATAATTGGGCCTGTGGAGTCTATAAATTTTTGGTTGATCTGAATTGTCTGAGCACATGGACTATTCTTAGAAATGTGTTGTTCCTGTGTAAAATTGGCATATAATATTTTCATTTTATAAATATGTAAGCTTGTTTCTGCATACATATATATGTCAGTCTTCCAGCATCTCTTAACCAGGGCAAGACATATATCTCTATCAAGTGCTCTACTGCCTTCTAATACAATTTATGGAAGATGCTTCTGACAGTGCATCTGTTGCAGGTAGTTTATTTGCAGCATGTAAAAGGAAGTTCTATGAATAGTACCAGCGCATCTGCTAAGCCTACAAAAACCCCATCCACTTCTGAAGTTGAGAAGGCATCTGTTATAGATGTTCAGGGGAATGAAGGTAAGGTTGAACGAAGTGATGAGAAGGGAATAAATATTGAGGGAGCAACTGAGGAAGGGATAAAAAGTGTGATAAATTTTCTTAAAAATAAAATTCCAGGACTGAAAGTCAAAGTCATGAACGTTGATGTTTCTGAGGAAGAAATAGTTAATGATTCTGTGGAGCAGTTGATGCAAGAAGATGAAGAGAAAACAGCTTCCACTGAGAATTCTGAAGATGAAACTAATGATTTGGAAGAGATTCAACGTGATGGAGTTGCTTCGGAAGAGGGTAGCAATTCTGCTGTAGACAGCAACGATTTGGATATGAAGCTTTTCATTGGTGGGCTTGTACATAATAATGAGGACACTCCTTCTAAGGATGAGTATGTTCGTCTTCCAGCTGATATAAAGGACTTGGAAAGAGATTCTTTTCTGCTACATGTTCCCAAGAGGAGTTTAGATAATGACACTGGAGAAAGTAAAGTGTCGAAGGTGAAAATGGCAGCTATAACAGCTCAAGGTGTTTCTGAGCTTATGCCTCCAGATGTTGCCAAGGCATTTTGGGGTTCTAATAAGGCTTCTTCTAAGGTGAGATTTAAATTTAAACCACTGGATTCAGATAATTAAGATTGGGATGTCAATAGTTTACCGACATTCTTCTCATTGGTGTTATATCAAAGGCTTTTTTAGTGGGATAAGCATAAGTACTGTCAGATGTTTGATTCTAACAACTCATTAAACTTATAAAAACCAGAAATCCTCTTCCTTCTCTGGGCTGTTAATACTTATTAAATTATATTGTAATCACCATGCCCCCTAGTGAGTGTAATTAAAGTGTTGGGTAGCTGCTTTATTCCCACTTTGTTCCAAATTAGAAAAGAAGGAAATGCTGATTGAGTTCTAATATATTTTCCTTAAATAATGGACATTGTGTTTGGAAACTCCAAATTTAATTATAGGTTGACATTTAATAACTAAGTTTGATAATTAGATGACTAACTGTTAACTCTATTTTAGGTTTCTAGAGATGTGCGCGAAATTGTCAAACTTGCTGTTAGTCAGGCACGGAGGCGGAGCAGATTATCTGAGTATACAAATTTCAATCGAATTAGCAGTGATAATGGAAATTCAGACCCATTTGAAGGTGGGTATTCTTATAGTATCTTTTTCTTTTTTCTCCACATAGCAAGCATAATTGATTGATGCCAGCTGATTGATGTCTAGGCCTCTATGTTGGTGCATTTGGTCCTTATGGAGCTGAGATAGTCCAACTGAGGCGTAAATATGGCCGCTGGAATAATGCAGATGACGAATCTTCAGATGTTGAGTTCTTTGAATATGTTGAAGCTGTGAAGCTTACCGGAGATCTCAATGTTCCTGCTGGCCAGGTTCTTTTTCATTTTATTATTTTGATAAATATATTGATAGTTGTCCTGGTTATTTCTAGCATGTGAGCGTGTGTTAATTTTATGTTCTAATAGAATATGCTTGTGGTAATCAATATGCCTTTTACATCTTTAGGTTACTTTTCGTGCCAAAATTGGTAGGGAGAGTCGCCTCCCCAACCGTGGGTTGTATCCCGATGAGTTAGGAGTGGTAATAACTCTCTCTCTCTCTCTCTCTCTCTCTCTCTCTCTCTCTCTCTCTCTCTGTTCATATGTTTCAATCAATATCTAAAGGGTGTTATTCGGACAACTAGTTGCCTGTGATTTTGTCACTATGGAAACAAGCAGATCCTACTGACCTGGAAGCCTCATTTGATATGATACAAATGTAGAAAATCTGGAAGATTAATAATTCACTAATGGGAACTTTGCAGTTTGCGAAATGAAATAAATTGTCATCTTATATCTACCAAAAGGAAAATAACTTACGGGGAAATTATTTTATTATTCTCATCCATCTTTTGGACTTTTTCAGTACCCCATTTAGCATGCTCCAATGGTGATGCAGACAAGGCATGCAGTTATTGAATTCTTCCTTTTTTTTTCTCCTTAGGTTGCATTGTGAGAAACAATGTCTATCTAATATATTGTGTTCAACACGAACAATAAATGTCAATATATTGACTTTGGTGTAAGATTTTGCCTAAAATATCTCCGCTATCTCATTCAAATAAATTGCCTTGGAAGGGACTTCAGTTAGAACCCCGTATTCGTTACATTAATTTGCACGTTTGAAACATCTAATTGATAAGAAAAATCTCTGAAATCCAGGTTGCATGTTACAAAGGTCAGGGAAGAATAGCGGAATTTGGTTTCCATAATCCACGATGGGTTGATGGTGAGCTTCTCCAACTCAATGGCAAGGTAACAAAATTATTCAGGACTTTGTATTAATATGATGTGACTTGCAACTGGAATTATTCTCATATTTATTTTCAAACTATTTTTGTGTTGAAAAAAAAATCCATGTGCAGGGCATTGGACCCTATGTCAAAGGAGCTGATCTAGGTTTCCTTTACATTGTCCCTGAGCAAAGTTTCCTCGTATTATTCAACCGTTTAAGATTACCTGATTGAGCCTAATCTATTACTGAATTTGACAAAACAATGGATCAACAATCTGATGCTGAGGAGCTCTTTAGTGCTAATATTTGAGAGGACAATGTTAGTGTTATGGTAAGCCTTGTGTTTGGTTTTTTCTATTTGGTTGAGGGGAACGAGTTGAAAATTTTCTTTTTGCAACATCTGTACTTATCCTGTTCCTGTTTTTCCATCTTCACTCTTTTGATGGTATAAATCAATTTTGCCGATTGATCAAATAGAACTAATAAGGAATGTTGATTATCTTCCTGCAGAGGTGATGCAATTCTTTCAAATATTACTTTGTATGATTCCCTATGCATCCTGTAATTCCTATGAGTTCCTGAACACGTATTTGGACTGAACATGGGAAATCTGGCTTGATTATCTGATCAGTGATGACAAATGATGGTTTGAATCACCTTTTACTTTGTCATAGGTTAAGTGGTAGCGAAATTGCATCACGCATCATCAGGTTGCTTATTAACAAATCATTGATACATGATGGATATAAGTGTCAAGTGTAAACTGTACTGTTCATCCTATGCTTAAACCAATCAATTTTCACTAGGTAGATACAAAAGTTCTTGTGGTTCCACAAATTTAAAAAGAAAAAAAAAAAAAAAAAAAACAAAAAAGGAAAAGCAGACACTGATGGGTTCTCTTTTTGTTGTTTAAGCAGTGAAGCAGAATTTGATGGAGAGCTGTTTTTGTTGTTTTAAATGGTAAAGGAATTGGATTATATGAAAGACTAATGATATCTAAGGAGAAAGAAAAGAGGGAAGGATGCTTTACTTGTTTCTTTTTCATTTTTTTGGTATATTCTGTTGGAAACCTAGGGGAGGGGGCTATTTGTGCAGGACATGTATCCGAGCAATTAGAGGTTCAGTCCCATTATTTCCTTTTGTTTGATGATATTGCTATTTGCTTAGGCCTAACTTGGTAAAACTAGTTATTAGACAAATTCGTGGGAAGATATGAAAATTTTAAACATCATATAGTGATACGAAACAAAAACAATAAGAAAAAATATAAAAATGATATATGAATTTGATAAAAAAAAATGTTTTGTATTAATTATGTAATATGAATTGTGATATGGTAATGTTTATATTTTATATATGTTAGTTAGGAAATAAACAAATATAAATGCACAAATTATAAAATCTATTAACGGGTGAAACAAACCCAGGTCTATTAAGCTTTTGCTCTATAAGGTTAGGCAATTAATTGGGAATTCCCTTTGCATGTTTTTCATCATTTATTTATGGTTTAAAGCAAGAATGTTATTGATACTTATTGTTGGAGGAATATGTTTGCAAGAAGATGTGAATGACAAAAGGTGGGTGGTGCCTTTATATCATAATAAAGCAATACCATAAGCAAAGCATAGCCCACTCTTAAAGAAACCCGAAACAACTTTACTTTTAGCCCGCTTTATGAAGTGTCCGTTGAAAGCTATCTAGCCGAGCAATTGTATTCCCTTCGTGTTTTTGTCACCTTTTCCACCATGCAGCATTTGGCACAGTGTGCATGAAAAGTGGACCCACCTTTAAAACAAAAACATAGAAATGCACACAATTACTTTTACTTTTGGTTTTTAAAAGTATTTTTAAATATTGCTTGAAGTTAATATCTTTTTCAAACAATATTTTAAAAGTAATTTCTCGTGTAAATATATTGTATTTAAAAATTTACTTTTGAAATATTTTTCACAAAAATTAAATCTTAAATTAATAAAGAAAAAAAAAAAAAACTCCTCTCTTTTTAAAATATATTGTTATTATTATTATTATTATTATTATTATATAACTAAAGCTAAAGATATAAATATGATTAAGACAATGCTAGACATTTTATTCTTTTATGAACATAAAAAGAATGGCACAACCGTTTATGAATGACAAATTCCTACTTGCGATCTTATCTACTAAGATTTCATTTGGGCTTTAATCATAAAATACACTTTTGATAAAGTGAGAGTATTCACATTGAGCTTCATAATGAAACCTAAGTACCAGCTATGGTATTTGTTGAGTTTGCGCTGTGCATGGTGAAAATTAAAATATTTAGAACTCAATCATTAAATTGAAATGTTCTCCACATTTTACTAGCTACGGAATTCTAAAAAGAAACTTCATCGTCAAACAACGTCGACAAATAGTAATACCAAAGTAAATTTATAAGGAAACGTGGTGGTTTTATACTGGTGGAAATCCTGGACTCTCTTAAAAATTTATGCAATGAATATAATCTCTTTTCTAGACGAATGCCACGTGGTATCTGTCCCTACGAAAGCAAAAGCTAGAAGTAGAGCGGTTAATTAAAGCCAGTATTCTCCTTCGACTTGCTCGTTTTCTTCTGGCTTCCCACACACTGGAAACGAAACCCCTCCTTTTTTTTTTTTCTTAATTTTAATTTTTTTTCTTATTTTTCCCTCAGCCCATTAAATTCCAAGAAAGCAATGGAAACCAAAGCCCCGAAGAAAAAAACTCAAAATCTCAACGACATCATGAAACGATCCTCTTCTTCAAACTCCGACTCAGTCACTCACCTCGACTCTCCCCACTCACCTCTCCGATTCCACTCCCCTCTCCCATCGGACCAGGGCGACCCCGACAATACCTCCCCTCTCTATGCTTCTCCGGAAGCCTCCCCCGATAAAACCGCCGTCGACCACTCCACCGCACTCGTCGCCGTTGACAAGTCCACCCAGTTCAACGCCAATTCTTCTCCTTTTCCTTCGCCGCCGTCTCCGCCGACTACTCCACCGCAACAATTGCATTTGACAGTGAACCGAGCGATGAGGGAGGAAGGACCGGGGGTGATGACGAGGACGAAGGTAAGTGGTGGAGGAGGAGGACCAAGGGCGGTGCTGAGGAGATCGAAGGTGAAACAGACGGTGCAGATGGCGGCTCTAGGGTTTCGATTAAGCGAAATCGTTTTGTGCTTGATATCTTTCTCTGTTATGGCTGCTGATAAAACTCAAGGCTGGAGTGGTGACTCTTACGATCGCTATAAAGAATACAGGTTTTTCTCCTTTTTTTTTTTTTTTTTCTTTTGATAAAGCTGACTTCATTTATTTAGAATAATTTTAATTTGCTGAAAATAAATAGTAATAAATATGAGGTTTTGTTTTTCATTAAATGTGTATTTTTACAGATATTGTTTATCAGTCAATGTGATTGGATTTGTATATGCGGGGTTTCAAGCCTATGATCTAGCTTACTATCTCATCACAGAAAAACATGTCATCCACCATTACCTTCGTCAGCCTTTTGATTTCTTCATGGATCAGGCAAGTTCTCGTATTTAAATACTAATTCTAAATTACCCAACTTACCTCCATTCTTATTTCTTATTCCCGTCATTTTGGAGATATTATAAATATATATGTTAAATGGTAGTTAGACAATCAGTGGACGGTTGACTTAAGTGGCAAAAAAAAGTGTGCTTCTCTCTTTGTTCCCTGGGTTCATATCCGTTTGGAGGCAGTAAGATAGTTTCTCATTAATTCGCCAGGGCTGGCGTAAATAAGTAAGTTTGGACCTCATAAAGGAGATGTACTGCGCAAAGCCCGGGAACTCCTTGCTGATTGGTAGTTAGACTGTTGTTGTCTTGATTAGTATACAAGTTAATTTACTGTGGTTTGTATCGAACTCTACTTTTGTGATTACAGTAATTTGTCTTTTCGAGTGATTGGTGACAATTGGAGCTTTCTTTTGGTCATAAGTTTGCATTGTTCTCTCTATATCAGTGTCTTCTGCCTTGGCCTTGTGAGGTTCAATTCAACGTCTCAGTCTACCACCATAAGCGACTATTAATTAGATTTCCCATGTTAGTGAGGTTGAGTTCATTTTACCTGCCTTGCGGTATATGCATAGATTTTATTGTTATATAAGATAGGATATATATAGATCGATTGAATCACAAGAGGTCCAAGTGAAACACATTCAAGTGCATTTATATGTGTAAATGCGGAGAGAGGAATATGCTGAAAGAGAATTGCTTACTTCTTTGGTTCATCTTGCAGATACTAGCCTATCTTTTGATTTCAGCATCATCTGCAGCAGCAACCCGAGTTGATGATTGGCAATCTAATTGGGGAAAAGATGAGTTCACTGAGATGGCTAGTGCCTCAGTTGCAATGGCCTTCCTGGCTTTTGTTGCCTTTGCATTTAGCTCGCTTATATCTGGTTACGAACTCTGTACCCACGAATCTGCATGATATCTCAGAGGCAGTTATATCTGGCAGTAAAATTGCAATACAATTGGATTAAAACAACTGCAATTTAGTTTTTATTATTGTACAGGGAATAACATATTATAGCATGTTTTTCATACGATTTTTTTCCCTTCAAAAGATGACAGTGTAAACATTCAGAGTTGGATGTGGTATATACCATTTTATTATGCCTGACTCTCCTTGTCTGCATAGAATTTGGATTCCATCACCCTGCACTAAAGCTCTTACGAATGCAATCTTCTTACTGTTCTTGTCAGCAGGCTGTTGTATAGACCTGACGCAGGCCAGGGGTTGTGTGTTAAATGTATCTGAATAATGTTGGAGAATTGAGACCAAAGCCGATTTTCAGGTCTAAGGATTTTGAATGGTTGACCTCAGCGTTATGTTTCTTTAACATTAATCATGTGTAAAAGAAAAAAATTATTATGATGGAAGGAGTGAAATGAAGTTCATCCTAGGTAAAAGATGGAACATAAAGATTGAAAAAGTATGACTTTTGCCCTCGCTAGGAGAAGAAAATAGATGAACAATTAGAACTCTTCCGTTTTTCCAATATTTTTTATTTCTCTTTCAATTTTTTCATCTTTATGACAAGGCAAAGCTTAAAGTTTAAAGCTCATCTATGCTAGCTATGCATCTCTTTTGCCTTTCCATGTGTTTTGTATTCTTTTGAGCTAACCGATTGGATTACAAAAACGAAATGATAATCTCCGATTGCTTTTCCCCTTCAAACCTTTCACTTGTGATACAAACCATGATGCAAGCCATCCGTCGGCCTGGCCTTTCTTTCTTTCTTTCTTTCTTTTTTTTTTTTTTTTTTTTTTTTTTTTTTTTTTAATTTTGGACTTTGGAGGAGCAAAGCCAATTTTGACAGAGTATTGGTCTAATGTCAAGCGCTTGGGTCGGGTCTATGATAACTTGGTTTATGCCTGATGATTGAATAGGCCCATTAAACTATTGTTCTAAGAAAAAATTGGGCCATACAATTATCCACTGGGTTCAGAATGCAGCAGTAAGAGCTAGAGCAGAATCTTTTTCTTAGGCCCTTGGACACCCAAAAAAAAAAATTGCAGGCTCCGTGTCCTAATCCAACGACCATGATATTCTTTCCGCGCTTTTGTTCCTGTTGCTGGGTGCCTTGCGCAGGCAATTTTACATGCCATCTGTTTTTTGAAGCATTGGTTGAAGCTTATCCTCACCAAATGAAGCTGTATATAGGGACAATCACAATTTGTGCATTTAAACTCCCTGGTCCTCTTCATACTACAAGTTTAAGATTGTTGGCTCACTAACTACATTTATTTTCTTTTTCTTTTTTCGTTTTTAAGTATTTTTTTCTTCAATGATAGTATTGGTTTGGCTAAAGCGAGTATTATTTGAGTTTTAGCTTTTATGTTCTAAAAAGAAAAAAAAAAAGGGAATTTGGAAAACATGATTTGTGAAGCCTAAAAATCAAAGTCCGTTATGTGTTTTCACTTAGTGCAACTTTATGAATGATGATACATGTAGATCTGCTAATTTAAAATATAATCATGTGATATGATAAAAAAATGATATGAATAAAAAATATAAATGTGATACGATTTAAAATTTTAGCAAAAACTATATATGAGTTTAATACAACAAAAAAATGTATTTCATGTTTTTGTATCAACACGAATTATAATATGTAATTTTTATATAAACACAACATGAATACATGAATTATCAGTATTTTATATAATATAAATACACAAATTGTCAGGTCTAAATGCATGTATTTTGATTTATGAGAGCCTAATGTGCACATGTACAATCACTTTGAAAAAGAAAGAAAAACTTTAATCTAGATATTCAGATTACGCGATATCTTCTAATACAATGTTATTACCCATGTTCATTTGATAAATTTATGGACGATTATAATCATTAATAAGATTCCTCATATGGCTACTCAAAAGATAATTTCAGTGAGAAATTTCATGATTACTAGAAAATTTATCCGATTAAATTCGAATTACCTTTTTTATTTTAAAATAATATATAAATTATTTGATTTTTTTCTTAATGTACTATAAATACCTTAATTTTTTTAATTCATTTTCCTCTTTTTATTTTCTCTAAAAAATTTTATTCTCTCACTCTAAAAAATTCTCTCAAAAAATATAATTGAAAATTTTCTTATTTCCTAGATTTCCACAAACCAACCTATTTTCGCCATCTCTTTCACTTTTGCCCGTCATTTGTGACATTAAAAATCAACCAAATCCCACCCACCATACCCTTTTGGCCTCTTCTATACCACTATAAACTTTATTTTTCCTAAGAATTCATGAATTAGCCTAGATTTAAAGATTTAACCCAGAGTTCTAAACCATTAAAACCCTTCTTTTTATCATTAAAATCACTTAAAAATGAGATTTTTTTCCCTGACCTTAGTTGTTCGTTTTCATTGTTTCAAATTCTTTAAACTCACCTTTGTCAATGTAAGCCACCATTATCACTGCTAACACTAGTGTCTTTTTACAATCCTAAAATGACTCATAACTTCTTCATCCTAAAAATCCAAACCAAAATCATTTAAACCAACTCTTAGCCCGAAAATCTTTATACTCAAAACACACTTTCCCATTTTTGTTGTATTGTGTTTGTCTGTTAATGTTGTTGAAACTTTGGTTGTTTTGTTTTTTTATTTTATGTTGTTTCAGGTATGATTTTTTTATGGTGGTTTGGAGTTTGATGGTTGGTGGTGTGCTGAGTAGTTATGGTGGTATAAAGAGGTTGTTATGGATTGTGTGTTGTGTAATTATGGTGGTTGTGACTTGTTTAGTTACCAATAAATGGTTGTGTTTCCTTGTTTTCTTTTTGATTGGCTTATTTTTGCTAAATCATAATCTTTGCCAAAAGCTTTTAATTTTTTTTGCCCAGAACCAAAGAAGCTTCTTATTTATTTATTTATTTTTGTTAATTCTAAACAAGTTATTTTACCTTTATTCTTAATTAATAATATTATTATAATAATAAAATTGAACATCCAATAAGAAAAAGAACAAATGGCACAAAAATGGGTGCATTAATAAACAATTGATGAATAGTAAAATTTGAGAGCTTGCTTTCTATTCTAGTTATAGATATGGTAATCCAAAAAAATTCAAACAATACAATGAACAAAATTTTGTTAATCTATGTCCAAATATTCATTAATGATCATTCCCTTCCTATTCAAATTATAATACTTTTTATAACGAACAATCCAAACAATTGCAAACTCTCTTTTTTTAGTGAGTATTTTTTGAGTCAGATCTCTCAAGAGATGACATTGACCTTTGTTGATAACCTATTCAGCATGTGGTAACTAATCATCTGTTATTAATCATTAAAACTTTTGCAAGCAAATAATTCTATTTTGATTTTTTTTGTTATAAATTTGACTATGAATATATGGTCAAATCAATGAATGGAGTTGATTCACTAGGGAAGAAGGCACACGAGATAGTTGATCATAGATGTTGTACAAAGAAGTTGAATACTGCATATTTTTAGAAAAAAAGAAAAGATAAGAAGGTTACAAATCATTAAGAATTTAGCTAATGTATCAATATTTGTATAGTTAGTTAAATTGTTAAGAATTTAGCTAATGTGTCAATTTCTTTATAGTTAATTAAATTGTATGAGCAAGCTATCACATGCACTTTTACTATTGGCTCATTGTATTTTAATGTTACTATTAAAATTAGTAGTATATGCCTATAAAAGAACATTTTTATAATGTGATCATTATGAAATGAAATACAATGTTCCTTTTTCTTTCAATTCTCTCAATTTTATTCCTCTATTCTTCTATTTTGATCTTTCTATTCTTCCTAACTTCTTATAAATCAATTAATTGAGTAAATATCACCATAAATTGGTATTAGAGAAATAAAAGATTCAATCATTACAAACTAGGGAAACATAAACAACAGAGGATTATGGTAGAAAGAACTAGGTTTAACACACTAAATGAGTAGATTGAGAAGTTGCAAACTCAGTGGGAGGCAATACTAATGGCAGATAATGCTATTGCTAAGTAGAGGAAGGAACAAAAAGAAAAAAAAGCATTAAGCCTAAATTAGACATGATTTTCATTGGTTGAGAATTAATATCATATTAGCATGATTCTCAAGCTATTAGAAAAAAGCAAAATTTAAGGCTAATATGAAACAAATGGAGTTGATAATGCAGCCAACCATTAAACCTTAACTTCTCAATTTAAAGTATAAGTTAAAGATCTCATCAAGGTTATCATTATAGATGACACTGAAAGTTCACTTACAAATGATAAACTTGGTATGATGACATTGAAAGTTCACTTACAAATGATGAACTTGGTATTCTTTCCAAGAATCCATATGATATTAGTAATTATGTTTTTCAAAGGAATATCTACCATTTAAAAACCTTGAAAGTGTTGCTAGATCTAGCTTAGTTACATCAATGAATTTTTTTTTCACTTAGACCTATGATTGAGTTACCTATGTTTAATGGCAATAATCCTAAGGGTTGGATTAAGAAATGTCAAAAATACTTTGCTATTTTTGCTGTTGTTAACCATAAAAAACTGAAAATAATAGCTATGTATTTGGTAAGAACTGGTCAATCAACTTTAAAAATTTATAATTTGGTTACAACAAATAAGTCTTCAAATTTTATAAAAAATTAGAAATAAGTATTTTATATTTCTATTGCATGAAATTTAATTATAAATTTTTTATATTATTTTAATTATACCATTTAATTTTAAAAAATTGATGAATATTATCTAATTGTCAAAATTACTAAAATATTATTACTTCAAATATTTGTTATTGAGCCTATCTAAATATATTCAAATATTTTATATTTTATAATGTCAAAGTTCTAATTCTATTAAAAGTTCAAATTCTAAATTTCATACAAAAAATATTAAAGAAAATATAGACAAAAAAGTTTTTTGTAATTAGATCTTAATTTTATGAAATATAAAATTTATTATTATTTTGATCATTAAAGTTTGTTAAGTTTATTAATTTTTTTTGTCTTCATTGTTAACAATTTAGTGACTTGTAGATACTTAATTTTGTTCAAGATATTTTATCATTTTAATCCAAACTTATTTT